GGCCCCCACCGCACAGCTCTCACAGGCAGTGACCCTGCGCCGGGTCGGGCTGGGCATCCCCCAGGAGCCTGCAGCTGCGTTCTGGAGACAGCCCCATTCATTTTCCTCCAGCCGGGCCTCTCCTCTGACGGCTCTCCAGAGGGGAAGGCGAGAGGAAGGGAGGGAAGGGGGTGGCTGCGTGTTGGAAAAGCATTTGCTGAGCAGGCACGGGGGCTGTGGCCCCAGGGGCAGAGGTGGTGTGAGGAGGGGAGAGAAGGAAAACACAGGTGGTGTTCGGTGAGCCAGAGGAGCTGTGGCACGAGGGCTGTGAGACGGGCCTGAGGCCATGTCGGGGAATGGGACCGAGGCATGGCGAGAGGGATGTGCTTGGGGTGTATGAGCAGGCTGGGGGCCTGGAGCTGCGCCCGTCCCTGTGGGACGGGAGGGAGCTGGTGGTGACAGCACCAGTGCCCAGGCTGCTGTGGTGCTGACCAGGCAGGGAGCAGAGCCATGACCCCAGGGTGCACTGACAGCTGAGGGGGCTTTAGTGGAAGGTGACTTCCCCAAGGCTGTGGGACCCTTGTCCCTGCCCATTCCCATTCTCAGGGTCACTCCTTTCCCTCCCTCACCTTTCACTACTGCAGGGAGGACTTTCACCTTGAGGGCTGGCATTTTATTTACTACTGCTTCTTCTCCAAAGTTATTTATGGTGTCCCATTCATTTAATCCTTTCTGTCTCGCCTGCCTCGGTGCTTGGCCCCCAGCCCTGGGATTCCGCTGGTTTCCTCCCCGACGACAGCGGCACAGCTAGCCACAGGGCTGACCCTCCCTGTGCCCCAGCTCACCCCGTCGTGCCTCGGAGTGGGGCACGGATGGACACGAGCAATGGCCTCTGTTTGCACTCCCTTCTCAACAAAAAAGAGAAAAGGGAAAAAATCCGTGCTGTTATCCCAGCACGGCTCTGTCTGTCTGCAGCACCTCCCACCGGTGGCTGGTGGATGAGGGCTTACTGCTTCCCTGTGGTCAAGCGTGTCTTTTAAGGACAGGGACATGGGCTGGCACGCCGGGCGCCGCCGTATGAGAAGGAAAACCCAGCCAGTGGAGAGGGGATGTGGTTTCTCACAGCTGCAGTGGGAGTGAGGCTCCGGGTGCAAATTGCATGTTAGACATGGGGCACGGCTGCTCCTGGGCAGCCAAAGGGGTGAGCACTGCATCCCCCAGTGCTGCCCCTCTCCTCCACCCCCCTGCACTGCTTTGCCTGGTGGGGGGAGGTATGTGTGGCCCCCCACATCTTGGGGTGGCTCATTTGAAGCTCCAGGATGAAGCTGGTTGTCCCAGCCTAGTGCAGCACTCTCTGTTTTGCTGTGCTGGGACCAAGTGCAATGGGAGGTGTGAAGGGGGTCTCATCCCATGCACAGGGGGGGATGGGGGTGCCCCCAACCACCCCTCACCTGCTCTGGCCAACCCATCGGTGTTAATGGACGGCTGTATGCGCCAGTACCAGCTGGGAGTGGGGCCAAAACTCACTGGCAAATAAAACAGGCTTGTTCACTGTGGGGGAGCAGGAATTTGGGGGAGTAGTTTGGCAGGACGCTTGTACACTTGTGTGTTGGAAAACGGCTTGTCCCAGTACCCACCTGATGTTTTCCTCCTCTCCCCTGCTGGTTTCACTCCACTTCTCCCGCAGTGCCCAGGTCTTGCTCCTGCAGCCACCCCAGGATCCCTTTCCTCCATCCATTCTCCCTCCATCCACAGCTTTGCCCTTCGTCTCCCGCAGTCAGGCTGGGATGGGAAGGCAGGAAGCACTGGGGATCCAGCTCCTTGCCCTGTGGGGCTGCAGCGCTCACAGCCGTGTATCCCTGGCAGGGGGACATCACTTCTATCTTCAGGAGCACGGTGCTCCCCAGTGGGCTGCACTGTGCTAGGGCCGTGGGTCTGCTCTTCCTTCTGAGCCCCTTCTTCTCTTTGGGATCTGTGTGTGTGTGCACGTGTGTGTGTGCAGATCCCTGCCAGCATTGCTGGAGCCTATGCCTTGGCTCTGAGATCTTAATTTAGCTGTGATGAATCCAGACCACCAAGGCGCACATTAATTTTCCTAATGCTCGTTTATATTTTGTTGATCGGAGAAATATGCGTGATGTGGGCAGGCAGACTCCGGGCTCTCGACTCTTCTCCACCTCTTTCCATTTCTGTGGCTCTTACTATTTTATTCCTTGATCGAATACAAAAAGCAAAGAGGAGAAAAGACCCAGCAAGCACCCTTCCCCTCCCCAGCAGTAACTTTCCTTGTTGGAGGAGTGCGAGCCAGCTTTTCACAAGTGAAGAGTTAACCTTCATCTGGCTTTAGTACCCAGTGGAAACATGGCTCCCCTCCTCAGCTTGTCTTAAAGGATTAATCACATTTCTGAAGTTCACCCGTATTCCTTCTTTTTATTATTATTATTTTAATTGAACGGTGCCAGGACATTCCAGCAGTATGAAGCATGTTCGCTGCAAATCATTTTTATGACATTGCAAAACCTCCCCTTTTCTTTTCAACCTCCTCCCCTCTGCTCAGATCTGGGCCCGGGACGCTGGCTCCCCCCGGCAGCCGCCCGGCAGCCCCTCCGCGCCGCGCTCAGGGAGGCTTTCTCACCGCCCTGCCAAGAGAGCTGGTTTTTATTTAAACTCCATAAAGGATCTTGCTTTAATCAGAAAGTCTGCTTGAGAAATTTCATGTCACTTTTCCATGACTGTGGGTGGGAGAAGCTTGGAGCCAGAGTTGTCTTTTTGCTCTTGGAGCACTGCTGCATTTCCCAGAGAACAAAAACACATTGCTGCCAAGGGAGGCTGCCTGCCGTCTGCCCGCCCACAGCCCTCCTGCTTCCCCCCTCCAGCTCTCCGCACTGCCCGAGGTCATGGGTGCCATGTCTTGGGATGGGTTTCGAGGGGCGAGGGAGCTGTTGACAGCGTGGCCGTGCTGTACCGTGGCGACGGACGTGACGCGCTGCCTGAGTGTGGGGTTTTGAAAGGACGTGTGGTCCCGGCCGGATTTGGCGGCACGCCGCTCGGGGGACGTGTGCTAGTGCTGGGTCCCGGGCAAGATGCGCTGGCTTGAGCCTTGACGTGACAGTGAGACTCGTGACGGGCTGCAGAGTGTGCAGTTGTCACTAGTGGTCGCCTGGGCTGGTGCACAGCACTGTAAAAATGTGCGCTCAGGACTTTCTTCCTGGCACCAACCTTTCTCCCTCCCAGCACAGGCTGGCTGAGAGAGATTTTGGGCTTGCAGTGCACCACCAAGGTTTGTCATTGTGCCCAGGGGGAGCGGGGACCGGTTTCACCATGAGGAAGCTCGGTGGGTCCAGGTTGGTGTGCTCCCTGTGGGGTTTCACCACAGTCCACTGCTCCTGCTTTCAGAAGCAGGGAAAAGAAAACAAGCAGTCACGCACCCGTTCCTCCCCACCCCTGTGCTTCCAGTCCTGCTGCCTTCATCGGCCCTGTCAGGGGAATAACCCCCATCGCAGCCTCATAGGGTGACACATGCTGGGACAGGGTGTTTTCACAGGAGGGGCAGCTGTGCCGTGCAGAGGATCCACTTTTCCTTGCAATTCCCTGTTCTTTGAACTGGGGTGTGGGCACTGCTTGGGCACACACGGAAGGATCGTGGTTAACCATCCTCAGCCATGAGATGCTTGTTGGGAGCAAGAGTGCCTGGAGTGGAGATGCAGATTGCTCAGACTCCAGAGGAGCTCAGAGCAGCTCTGGGAACATCCAGCATTCATGCACCTTCTCCCAGTGTGTCACCCGGCATCTGTACACCCTTGAATGGGCTCCCTGACTTACCACTGCAAAGTCAGCTTCTTGCTGGCAGGACAGCAGCTGCGTTTGAAATAGCAGGCAGCAGAAGGACCACTTTTGGCCACCCTTCAGTGCTGCAGTAAGTTGGCTCTTCTCTTACTTTTGGACCAGGATTTTTCGCACGCAGTTTCTCAGCCATGGAGCAGGAGGTTTCTCTAGAAGCTGTCTTTTAAGTTACCCTTTTTGTAGTAAGGAAGAGGAGAAAAACAGTAAAGCTCTGAAACCAGGCCAGTTTCCCTAACTGCTGGGGACGGAGCAGTCCTCTGCCGGCACTGCAGTGAAACAGCCCTGGGTCTACAGCGGGAGGATGAGCTGGCACCAAAATGCTGAGCCAGCCACTGAGATGCCCTGTCATTTGCTCTCTGCAGATCTCAAAGATTTCAAGTTTGATGGCCAGCATGTGATTGAGGTGGATGAAGGGAACACAGCTGTGATCGCCTGTGACCTGCCTGAAAGTCACCCCAAGGCCCAGGTCCGCTACAGCGTGAAGCAGGAGTGGCTTGAGGCCTCCCGAGGTGAGTGCCGCAGGGGTCTGTCCCCCTGGGTCCCCTCCCTGGACTCTGCCTGCTGCCTCCTTATTGTCCCTTTGCTGCTGGTCTGAGCACAGGTTAGTTTAAGAGCCCCTGCCACGTCTCCCTCATACCCCTGCTCCCTAGGACTGGGGAGCCACGTCTGCATATAGGCAAAAGGAAGCAGAATTAGGTGATGCACAATGTCACTCTTCACTGGACATCTCCATGTGTCTGTGAAGCATTCTTTTAGCCCAGCCTAGATAAAGGCAGCTTTGAATTTTGTGAAATGTCTTTAATTTGGATCTGAATTTTGCAGCTTCACTTCATCTGCTGCATGTACCTGTGACGAGCTAGCTTCACCTGAGGCTCTGTTCCTTCCATCATTGCACCATTGCTCCCCCTGATATTCTGGGTAGGAGCACATTTTGTGACCACGTCCCCTTCTCTCTCTACAGACAATTACCTTATCATGCCATCCGGGAACCTTCAGATTGTCAATGCCAGCCAGGAGGATGAGGGGACTTACAAATGTGCTGCCTACAACCCTGTGACACAGGAGGTGAAAACCTCTGTCTCCAGCGAGAGGCTCCGTGTGAGACGTAAGCTGCTCTCCCTTCACTGCACGTCTCCATAGCACTTCCAGCCCTGGGAGCACATACTGGCGCTGTTGCAGCTGGTTTTCTCTGTGAACCGGCATTATCAGTTGCTGGGAAAACTACCCAGCAGCAGAAGGCCCCAAGGCTCCTGGGGTGTGTGTGCAACCTGGGGATTGCTGTACCTCCTCAGGATTTGTTCTTGGTGATGGCGAGCAAAAGCCATTAGCCTTTCAGCAAGACCACTTACTGTGTGCACGCATTCCTTAAGGAATGTCCCCTTTGGCTTGTGTTGCCATTTATCCACCCCAGTGCAGGGGAGCTATGGACTAGCCGTATACCCCTACCTGCACTCTGCACAGGGTGCTTTCCCTCCAGCCACCTTCCGTCCCACCCACCTCCTTCCTCCTCCTCTCCAGGCTCCACAGCGGAGGCAGCCCGGATCATCTACCCCCCTGAAGCTCAGACCATCATTGTCACCAAGGGCCAGAGCCTCATCCTGGAGTGTGTGGCCAGCGGGATCCCCCCACCGCGAGTCACCTGGGCCAAAGACGGCTCCAGCGTCTCCGCGTACAACAAGACACGCTTCCTGCTCAGCAACCTCCTGATCGACCCCACGAGTGAGGAGGACTCGGGCACCTACAGCTGCACGGCTGACAATGGGGTTGGGGAGACCGGAGCTGCATTCATCTTCTACAATGTGCAGGTGTTTGGTGAGTGCTACTCTAGCCCGTGTTTCAGGAAGGGCTTGGACCTTCTCCCCTGCTTTCGGCAGAAAATGCTAATGCTGCTGTACTCTTCTTCTCACTGGACAAACCACCATGTAATGAAAACCCCTACTTGTGGTTCCAGTTTCTAGGAGATGGGTCAGATTCTTCCTTGAGAGTGATAGTTCTTCCTTTCTGGTTCCCACCATGGGCTGGAGATGATGGATCCTCCCTTCCTCTTCCTTCAGCAGAAGCTCTTCTTTTGTCATTTGTAGCACTGGGTTTGCTCTAACACTTTCTTGTGGAGAACTGGCTGCTGCTTAGACATGTTTGACATCAGCATAGGGAAGATATCAGAGTGTATTGCTTTCTGTTCTGTTCTATAGGGAAGCTGTCTATGGGATGAGAAATATAAGGGGCACTACACCGTAGATACTTCTAGCATGCATCGTTCCCTTTCTCGCATGTATTAGGGAGGCTAAACCCAAGTTTTATTGGATTGCATTTCACCCAGATGCTGGCATGCTGTTTTGGCACAAGCACAGTCTTCACAGAGTAGCACTTCAGCTCAGAAAAACGGGACTTGTAGGTGCCTGCTAGCATCTGAGAGGGGCAGATGGCTTTGGGCCACTTCTCCTTGTGATTCACATGGATGCTGAAGGGGAGGCGCAATGAAGCGGATGCCTGTGGGCCCCCTCAAAAGGACTGGGATTTGGGGGTGGGGTAAGGATACATCATTCCACCCTCGCCCCTGCTCTCTGCTAAATGGCACTCAGCAGTGTTTTTCCCCTGCACAGAACCCCCCGAGGTCACCATGGAGCTGTCCCAGCAGATCATCCCCTGGGGCCAGAGCGCCAAGTTCACGTGCGAGGTGCGAGGGAACCCGCAGCCCTCGGTCGTGTGGCTGCGCAACGCCGTG